AAACACACACACAAGACGAAAGGACACTCGCAAATTCAAAACAATGTCTACCCTAACCATTTGAAACACAGCGCTCTCAGGCCATGCTTCACGGCAGGTCGAGGCCAGGCCTAAGCTGACTGGGGTGTTTTTTTTTCCCGGAATGACAAATCGTACAAGACAACAATCTGGAGAGTGTCCCACAAGAGTGTCCAAAACTGATTGGCCGTTTGTCTTCGAGTGCGTGTGTGCATTCTGCTTCGTGGGTTCCATCTCGTTCCGGGGTTTCCATGGCGAGTTGAGTGCAGATGCTACAGTTTTCTCGAGGATTGTCAAGAGGTTCAATACCCATTGCCTTGGCAAGCCAGAAAAAAATGAAAAAGGAACTGGTCTTGTTTCGGTTCTCAAGCTGAGCATGTGGTCAAGGCGCGGGCAGACTATCTCCAAGAGCGGTACAGGTGCTGGAGGAGGAAAAAGCAGTGGTTCATTCGCCTTACTTACTTGAAACAAATGCGGAAACATACTATATAGGAGAATCTAGGAAACATTCTTTATCCAGCATGGACATAAATTTGTTTCCATGTTTCCTGCGACACTCATGAACAAGTTGTACAGACAGCACCATGAAAACCTGTCGTTGAGTCGTTGATATTATTGTGTGAGTTGATACAGCCCTTTGCCAGAAATCACCTTTCCTTTCTAGACCCTGGTTGACTTGCTGGTGAGCCCGAGAACACATCAGGAGTTTTCGGACACAGGATTGGCTCTTTTGAACAAGGCACATATTGGGGACGAGTGTGAGTTATCTCAAGACGTTTTTGTTCTAGCACTCGTTAACATGAAACTTGAACTATGTCACTTCGCTGCTGGTGAATGGGATCAAGGCTAAAGATACTTTCCGTGGATTGCCAGAGCAAGTACAGCGAGTGCCTTCTGGATCCTTTTGGTGCTTGGGGTGTTGTGCCGTGCCAAACTTCAATGCTTTTGGAAGTGCCGTCGGCCTGGAGGCACCGCGATTCGGAACCTACGAAATGGAATGGTTTGGACCTTGCTGCGGCTGTACAGGAACATGCTCGAAAAGTGAGATGGATTCTCAGTACCACCCAAACCACTGAGCGTAGCCACTTCCAGACCAGCTTTGATGGCATGACTCGTGCACCTTAAGGGCTGTGCACTCTCGGGCACTCAGAACTCAACCCAACCATTGAATTTCAAATGGAATTTGTGTCCTGTCGGCCTTACAACATCTCTTTCCGGCGGCATGGGTCCAAGGGCTTTTGATTCCTACCCATCCATGTCCGGGCAAAATGAAGGCCCTTGCAACACCGAGGCTGCTTTTGAGAAATGAGATGCATTCCCGGCACGTTTGCTAGCTTACAGACCAATGCTGCCATGAACCACCAAGTGTTCAAGTGTGGTTTAAGCCATGTTCTAGAACCTGCAGTGTTCAGCGGCCTTGGATTTCACAGCCTTGCAGCTGTCAATACCTACAAAACACATGGACAAAAACTGACTCTAAAGAACTGAAAAGGCGGACACAAACCTGCAAACACCCGTGAGAACAGCTTCAGTTCCTTCGTTACTGTACATGTATTTTCAATGATTACTGCAAGGTTGTTTCCAGGGATTCAGGTTCTTTGCTATTTTGTTTGCGCCGGGTTTTGTCTCGTGTTTCCAACAAAAATCACAGGAATACACAGGATGTATGTTCATGTATGTTCACCTTCACCATCCCAATATTTTTTTTTGTCTAATGGCATATCAGGCGCAGTACTGGGCACGAAGAAGTGACTTTGGAGCAGCAATGGAGGCCACAGGATTTGGCACGAATAAGAGTCATTATATAGATTATATAGATCTTAGCTCAACTGTTTATCCCATGCGCTGCTGCTGAAACCCTTAGCTCATGATTAACATGTGGAACAGGAGCTGGCTTGTATTGTCAAGTCGAATAGCTGGCTTCGGGGGAGTCCGTAGAACAGACCTGTTGAAGAAGAAGCTTAGATGTTGTCCAATTGGTCAGAATTCATTCAGATTGATCAACCTCAAAATGAGAGATGTGACGCCCTGTTGAGTGCAAGAGGGTGGTGAAAGCCTGGGTCACGGTTTGAAGATCTCAGGAGTCCAAGGTTACAGGCGAAAGAAAAAGATTGGAAAGCGCTACTAGGAGCAAGGTCGCTACTAGAGGCTCCTGGCCTTACTACTAGGAGCAAGACGCTGCTAGTAACATCGATGCATCTTCGGCCTCCTGCTGACTGGACCTTCAGCGGCCTTCGGCGGCCTTCTTGGCTCTCAGTTGCGCAAACCGCCTTCTGGCTCTCAGGGAGAGGAGCAACTTGGCATTTTAGGACTCCTTCCGGGTTGGAACCTAATAGCGATGGCCTCCAACCTAAGAGCCATGGCCTCCAACCTATTTCAAGAGGATACTGCTTTTTTCAGCTCTAAAAGCAACGCTTGTTACAGGATCTCTTTTGCCTCGCCCGTCCTGCGGTCCCCAAAGAACACAAATGTCATCAAGTGTCATTAAATGAAGCTTTGCTCCTAGTAGCTTCTTGTTCCTAGCAGTAAGGCCAAGAGCCCCTAGCAGCTTCTTGCTCCTAGTAGCGATGCCAGGAGCCCCTAGTAGTGTCCTTATGGGAAATGATGTCGATTAATTTCTTTTGTCGAACACAATTGCTTTGTCCACAAAGCTCAGAATGAACACAAGCCCTTTGCCCAAGCCAACAAATGAAGGGAATCGCCAATTGCGGTGTCCAAGCTCAAAAAGGAACAGAATAGCCAAATAGCCTTACCGAAGCTGAAGAATGAACAGAAATGTGCCGTCGAAAATAATGGACTGGACATAATTTCAATCCGTGTTGACAATGAATAGCATTGCTTCGCCCAAGCTTAAATTTACCCGAGCTGCATTGTCCAAAACAATGGCATTGTATTAATTGTTACAACTTACAACATCTTACAACTTGTTTTGTGTGACTTCTTAAACTCGAACAACTTGCTCAGAATAAATGTCGAAAGGAAGCAGCCCATTGAGGCAAGCATCCCATTGAGGCATCCCTTTCAAGACATTTGAGACCGGGACATGTTTGATACAGTTGATGTTATTTTCTTGAAAGCTTAAGAAATGGTCAGTTGAGCAGTTTGCAGTCCTCCTTAGTTGAGTTTAGTGTTCATCTATATATTATATAACTATATATTCACTAAATTTACCAGACTTTGGCAGACATCATGCACGTCCAACACTGCCAATTATGAGGATCACACGGCCACGGGTAGGAAAGGAAAAATACATTAAAAAACTAATTATAATTAATTATATATATATACATGATTTTTTTTTTGTGTTTTTTTGTTTATTTCAACTCTGGAGATTTCCACCGATTGGAAGACCAACGATAACTCTGGCAATTTCTGCAGCTGCCTTGAGCTGGAAAGCCCGTTTGCGATGAACATTGAGCAGGATTGCCTTGTCCAAATTGCAGAAATTTGCATCATCCAAACAATGAAAGAACAAGTTGTTTCATCCCAGCTACAATTCAAACAGAATTTTCCTATCACATAACAACATGAACTGAATTGTATTGCCCAAACTAGAAAACGGATCTGAGAAAGAGAGTGCATGGCACAGAAAAAGAATGGAGGTTCAGCACGTATTGGGGGTTCAATCGTGTTTCAACCACACTCGTGGCCTTGATCCTGGCAGTTGTTTCATTCACGTGGGGGTTCCAGAATTTCCTTAACATTTTGAATGGTTTCTATTCGCTAGACATGTGCACATTGCTCCCTTATTTGTTATCCGCGGAGTGGTATGAATCTTTGGATTGAAGGAATGACAGGATTTGCTATTGTTCTCGTTCTCCCAGGCTGGGAGCGATGGCGGAGGCTGAAGCTGGGCACCCTGGAAGGGCGATGTGGTAGTACATTTTCTCAGAAACCTGGACGTACCCGGCATTTGGATCGACTCATTATACAATACACTTCTGTGGCCAAAACTTGTAGCGATGTCTCTCAAATCAAGTGAACTGATGCGTGTGTATATTTATAGGAAGCATATGTTGCGTTCTGAAATATAAAACAAGAACAGTCAGCAGCACCACTTCTATTGTGCACCACTGCACTGCCAAGGGTCAATGGTGAGAGACAACTGGAGCAGGATCAAGATTACATTGTCATAGTACCATTTGTGGGGGAAAGGACCAAACCGATTTTCTTTGCTACTGCAAATGCAAGCAGAAGAACTGGAAACATGATTGGCTACTTTGGTGGGCTGGGACCCCCAAGGATGAGCTGGAGGACAAGGGAGGGAGGGCGGGAACAGAGCGACAGTTGAGGGACAGTCAAGGCTTGGATGTATATTGCTGCTCCAGCAAGAGTTATGTATATAACTGTATGAGTGTGACCACA